AAGATAAGAGCAATAGAATAAGATAAGAACAAGCAAGATGATCTAATCTAATCTAGATAAGGCTGCTGTTGCCGAACTGGGTAGGATGAGAATTATTGAATCACTGCTGCTGCTGGCGGTGGGTTAGGTGCCTGTTGCTGCCGGTGGCGATGGTACGTCTTCCCGAGGAATGCGTCCATAACACCCACACTTCCAGGTAGTGGAATGCCATTTCACACCTCAGCATTTTAAATACATTGGCACCCATGTAGGCAATTAGGTTACAAGGCACCCCTCTATTGCCTAACCTCACCTTGGCACTTTGAAAATTATTTTGGTACCTATGATAAGTTGTATAGCCCAGGCTTGGGCCTGACCAGATCTGCATCCCAGGTCTACAACATTAAATGTATTTTGTGTATCATATATTATACTTTTGTATTATATGACATATATAACACTACACCAATTTTCAATTACTTGTCTTAGTTACATAGGTCTTGAACTCCTGATATGGACAATTATTATCAATGTCTGAATTTTCCACATGCAGTACATGTGCACATTTACTAGTATAAAAAAACATGGTGCCTGTTTTTAGCCATATTTATGTAGATCTTACGTTGCTTAATTAAAACTGGTTAGTACCTTCTCAAAAAAAAAAAAAAAAGAAAAAGAAAAAGAAAAAAAAGAAAAGAAAAGAAACACTTGCTTGTAACTCCTTTAAATTTATTTGGTTCCCAATCTAAAATATTGCAGTTTGTGATATTGAGCTATCCTTTAATAGATCGGAAACAGATATCATCAATGTTGTTGAGCAAAGAATATGGCATTCAATGGAAGAAGGGCAATTCGAGAACTTACCTGGAAAAGGGAAGCCTCTGGACCTTAGCACTAACCCCCATGCAGATCCAGCAGAAGACACCTTATACAGGATTCTTTCAAGAAATGGATGTGCTCCAGAGTGGGTTGAACTTAACAAGGAAATACGAAACCAAATTGCTGAGTGGCGGTTAGCCCTGAAGAAAGCACAGGCTAATAGATTAAATGGAAATGATGCCAAATGGATTGAAGATTCTGAAATTCTCAAAGTGCAGATGCGTGACATCAATGATAAGGTCAGTCATTTGTTGTCACCAGGAATTAAGTCTCAGTAATTGTTACTATTGTAGAAACATATTCTGCAACATAGCTTGTGGGTCCAGAATGGTTAATCTAGGTTTCTTTCTTGGATGTCTCGTTTTTTGTTGCAGTAGTAAAACATACCATACCAACAATAACACACACACACATACAAGTTGATGTGAGGAGAATTTCATAAATTGGACATATAGTGTTTGGTGATTGGTCTTCCCTCTTCCCTTTGTGTTTGTTGGGGTTTGGAGGTGTTTGGGATTGTTTTCCATCCAAGATATGATCACTGATCACCGATATCTGGATAGATGTGCTGGTAGACCAGATAGAAGATATTGAGCAGAATGCTACATATCATGTTCTGCATTAACTGCTTCCTATGTGCTCCAAGATCTAAAGGATTTCTGGATATGGTAACGTAACTTTCATCTAAATAATTACAGGTATTCCGATATAATCTCATTGTACCTTTTGGACGGCAGATGTTTGGGCTTAAGTGGGAGAAAGAATTGGATCGACTGGAAGGTTGATTTACCCTCTTTTTTTTATTCTTTTCTTTTAATTTGTGTTGGTTGAGTTTGTCAGCATTACTAAATTAGATAAGATAGATGCAGTTCCATAGCATAGATTGATGTTCTCAATTGATGTAATTGCATCGTCAATTATCCATATCCATAAATAAGAACATGGCATTGGTTATGTTGCAAATACTCTGACTGAAGCATGCTGCTTATGAGATTGATCGTGTCAATAATGTAGGTAGTGGAGCTGATACAAAATAATTGGGCTCCATATTGTGGCTTAGACTGGAATTAGAACAATCCATCGAGCGTGAGCATGTGAAGATGAGAGTTCAAATGTGTGTGAATCTCTTTAGAATCATTACCAATGCTGTCTTAGCCTCAATCTGTCACTCATGTCTAAATTCTACCGATGTCTATTTAGGGTTAGGGCCCCATCCAATTGATAGAACATCAGTTGATTCTTTGTCGCCTCTGAAACACCTTTGAACTTTTCGGGTTTGAAATCTTCTGCATCTTCTCCCCAAAGTTCATGTTCATGCTGGATGAATAATAATATTATAAACACGAGCTGGATGCCGATGTGAAGGGTGATTTCTTCCATCATCTTTAATCTTTGTGCTCCTGAATGTAAATCGGACAAAGGAATGGCACAGCCACAGGAGGGTGTAATCTAAGAACTTCATGCAGAATCATGGTTACTTGTGGGTGTCATATAATGCATTTAGGCTCATAATTACATAAATATGCAATGCAATGGTCTATGGATAATCAATTGGTCTGCACCCAAAAAGATAAAATCAAGGTTTGGAAAATCGACCCGGAAACAGAATCGGTTAAGGCACCGTTCTCTGGTTTGGTGGTTCAACTGTTTGGGTCAAATGGTTCAACCCGTGTTATAAATAAATTAACAATAAAAATAGATTTATAAATAATAAAATATATTTTAAAAATTAAATAAATTACAGAAAAAATCAGTGCTGGTAATGGAGGTGTGACGGTGTTGGGGTCACAGAGAGAAGGGGATAATTGCCACTGTAACTATAGACTTGTCAGCAGAGGGGAAGAAACAGTCGCTGCAAAGTTGCCGTAGATCACTGACGAAATTGGTGGTCTGTAACCGGTGGTCACCACTGGTCACTGGTAGTTTGTAAATGTTGGTCAGCGCTGATTAGACAACCGGTCACCGTTGTAAAACCATGCGCTCAACGAGGTGAGAACTGAGAATGCAAACCTTGTGTTCACCGTAGATAGAACCTCAATCGCCGATCGCTGATGGCTGTGGGTTGTTGTGGGTCGCTGTAGCTTGCTGTAGGTCACCGCCACCGTGGGTCATCTGAGGTCAAGCTAAGTGAGCAGCTGAGAAGGGAATTAGGGAAGAATGAAAATGATTTTCGTTTGAACCCTAACCCCCAATTACGATAGGGACACGTGGATTTTTTATATTTTTTTTAATACAGAAAAAATAAAGAATATAACCTGCAAACCACTGACTGGGTTGAATGGTTTAGCGGTTTGACCACTTGGGTCAGTGGTTTTCTAACATTTTTAATTTTTTTTTAAAAAAAACCAATTTATAATATAACTGGAACCAAAGACCTGAACGGTTCCGGTTTTTCCGGTCCGGTCTGATTTTGAAAACATTGGATAAAATGGTGTGTTGACATGGTTTTACACAACTCACAATTTAGGTGGGCAAGCTTTCTAGTGTTGGTGTGTTTCTGCCGCAGACTTTGATTACCTCTGCCCTTGCGCTTTGTTGCCACTTGCCAGTCTTGATGCATTGCTATGCTAGTAGGACAGACCGACAGAGAACAGGCCACACAGGTAGTATGTTGGCCAGTGAAGTAGAATAGTTTGCATTCCTCGATCATTTCTTCTGTCGTTAATTCATTATCCTTTCCCAAGATTTCCGTGGATGTCAATCAACTCCGATGGTTGCTTTGGTCTTCACGCTCAACTTCCTTTGAATTGAAGCCATCAAGCAACAGGGCAATGAAGCAAATTTCTATTTCCGTTTAAACTTTAAAGAGATAGAGATGGAGATATTAAACCCTTGTAAGTTGTAAACCATGATATGATCTGTTAAAGGCGAGACGAAACATGGTAAAGTATAGCAAACAATTGCGTTTAAAAGGTGGTAAAAAAACCCAGTTAAACCTCTCTAGATGTGGGGAAAAATATTGACGATTGATCTGAGAAGTTAAAGTAATCAGGACAAGTGGATGAATGCATCTCAGTCCAGGGTTGTAAACTCTTTAAAGGGCTTCCATGAATAAAATCAATCCCTTTCCTTATTCCCTTTGAAGATAGAGAATCCGTTTGCAAACCATCAGCTTCTCCTTGTGGAATGTAGGATAAATTATCCTTCTGTGCATCACCTATTCTTCTCCTTCTAAGCCAGAGAGGCCCTTAGTTAGCCATTGTAGAAGAGGGTTATAATCAGATAGCGGCAACTGAAACTGATCATTTTTATCTTGGTCCCAAGCTTTTGGGGGAAAATCTATGATGCTGGTTGATTGGTTATAAGTTTTTTCAACATCATGTCTTTCGGCATCATAGTCAAACCTGTTTTGATAGTTTCTCATTTCATTATGAACTGCCACTGCCAGGATGAATCGTTTATTTCATCACCAAGTAATGTTTAAAAGTGTGATTTACTTAAAGGATTCAACTATGATACAAAAAGATGTGATACCAGAAAAACTTAGGACGAATCAATTGGTATCATAAAAGAGGTGACCAATCAGGTGTTATTCATCAAAATTCAGGTATCATGTCTTTTCAGTATCATAGATATTCACTATTTTTATTACATGTAAGCATTGATTGTTATACAACAGAATGACACTGAATGGACGGAAATGACAAAACAGGATTCATATAATCGACCTCCTATAGTTGGGACAAGGTTTAAATGATGAAGATGATGATCCAGTTTTGATTGTTTAAAGCCATATAGATATGTACTTTACCACTTTTATTTTTATGATAAGAAAATCTATGATCTCTATTAAAAAAAAAACTATAGTCTCTATTAAAAAAAAATTGTTGTGTGAGTAGGGGTGGAGCCAAGTGTGGAAAAAAAAAGGGAAATTGGCTAAAACTCACCATGAGTTTTTAGCATTTCTCCTAAACTCACCACAACTTTTCAAAATGTCTAAAACTCACCATGTCACTAACTTGGCATTAAACAAACTAACAGACATTAATATATTACCATTTTAACCTTCATAAAAATATAAAATATATACAAAATAAATTAGCGAGTGTTAAGATATTACCATTTTAATATTTAGACATGAAAAAAGGAAAAGTTCAAAAAAATATTTAAATATAAAATACATAAAAACATAGAAATTACAAAAAATATAAAAATTATAGAAATTTTAAACAAAATAAAAAATTATTTTCAAATTATAGAAACTATAGAAATTGAAAAACAAAATCAGAAAATAAAAATTGTAGAAAAAGCACCAAAAATTAATAGATTGTAGAAAATAGAAAAATGTAAAAAAAAAACAAAAATTATAAAAAAACATTGGAAATTATAACAAAACATTAAAAATCATGGTTTTCAAAACCGGATCGGACTGGATGGCTGGATCGGAAAAACCGGGAACATGTCAGGTGACCGGTTCCATTTTCCCCAAAAATCGGATTTCCCCCCAAAACCGTTGATTTTGGTCAGCGAACCATTGAACTGGGTGGTTAATCGTTCGAACAGTTTTGACCCTTTTTTATTTTTTTGTCAGAATGGGCCAAGCATTTGGTTCAAACGGTCGGACCGTTCAACCTAGTAACCGGACCCTTGACCGGTTCGGTTTTAAAAACCATGTTAAAAATGCAAAAAAAAAATGAAAAATACCATTTTTCCTCTAACTCACTATTCAAGGGTAATTTGGTCATGAAAATTGTTATCCATGCTGACATGGACATCTCTGTTAAGAAGCATTAACTTATTGCGGAAGGTGAGTTTTGGAAAATACAAACTTACTAATATGGTGAGTTTTAGACATTTTAAAAAGTTGTGATGAGTTTAAGAAAAATATTGAAAACTCATAGTGAGTTTTAGACATTTCCCAAAAAAAATTGTAAAGGATTACTCTCTAAGGCTCCTCTAACTCACACTTTTTTCAAAAGAAATTTATTTATTTTTTCTTTAAAAAATCTATAGTAAACCAAAACATTCTCAGGCCATTTTTTTCCAAACTCTACTTCTTCTCCTCCCTATTTCATTTTCTTGTTTAACTTGAACCCCCCAAAAGAAAATTTCTGTCTCTGCCACTCGACAGATGAGAAATCCATGGGTCAAGGCTATGCTTTAGTTTTCAACCTCAAATCTCCGTCGTGTCCCCACCAAACAAGCTATTAGTCTGCAGGCGGGTCCTTGTTGTTCCTTTACTTCTACAAGCTATTTCCAACCTCATGGGCTTCCACAATGTACTGAGTGCAAATGATGGGCTAATGGGCCATTGCTTAGATAAGTATAGCAACAAACTACACCAAATGGTACTAAATTAGCCTGATTTAGCATCTCTGGTTCTGTACTTCTATACACTCTGATCGGTGCCTGTTTAAGTTAGGAAATCCAGCAGTATTGACCCAATGATTTAATTCTCTGTCCTTTACACTAGAACTGTGTTTGGTTGGATAGAAACTAAGAAAGAAACAGAAAATCGAGGGAAACAGACAAGAATCGGACTTTGAGGATTTTTAGGGCTAGTACCGTACCACTTGGGCATCCTTTCTCATTGGAAACTGGATTTTGTCAAAGCAAAAGCCACGAGCGCAATGTTTTAAAAATCGACCCGGAGTCAGTACCGCTTTGGCCACTGGTTTTTGGGTCAGTGGTTTGATCATTCGGTTTGAATAAATAGCCTGTTTGAATTTAAAAAAAAAAATTAAAAAATGTCAAAACCATTGTCAGGGTCAAAAAAGGTTGCTAACCAAATCAATGTTTTTGGCCCAAAAAGATTAAGTGTGAAATAGAACCGGTTGTCTAGACATATCAAATGGTCCGACCGTCCAAGTCAACGACAGTTCAAAAACCATGCTCTGAAAATCATATTATAAACATTTCCTTATAAATTTAACAAACATGTAGGGAAGACATTCTTAATGCATATCCGGATGCCATTCTCACAAGATTTTGGTCTGAATAACAAAAACAAGCTGCCATATTGCCATTTCCAATATGTAAGCTGTTTGTCCTCCAACCACAGAAACGCCATTGATGCATTATATCTTAGAAATCTTTTGACTTATAGATATGAATTTAGACTTCTGTCTCGAGGATATATACATCGTGATTAGGAATGGCAATAGGGCGGGGACGGCCTTGTTCCCACTTTCCACCATTTTGTATCATGTCAAATTCATTTTATTTTAATTTCTTTTAAATAAATTAATTATAATTTACAATCTTATCAAAATATTTGTAAATTTTCCCATATGATAATCATCGCATCACCTAAGATAGGTTCCGAATTAAAAAAAAAATGAAGAAAATTGCCATGCCTAACCGTATCTATTGTTCAATTTCCTTATCAGATCTGTCTAAAGCCGGTGATCACCAGACACCAGATCAGGGTTGCAATTTACAAATTAGAC